CCTGCATACATCTTGCAGCCAAGCAATGCTTCTATGAATTCTGTATATAGAAGAACATTTTAAAAACACGATTAAAATCTTGAAATTGCAAAAGCCATGCAAAAGATCTGGGCTAGGCCAGAATGTATCCTTTTTGTTAATTTGTCCAATACAAGATGTTGTAGATCAAGTTCTGTCCTAACTTGTAACTAATTTCAGAGGTTTGGAAAGATGAAGTGCAAACAGAACAGATTTTCAGCTCCTGCCTCCCTGACACACACAGCCAGATGAATTCTGGCAGTGCTCTCTGTTCACAAACATAGTGCAGCACCCACTGCTAGGGAACAGGAAAACCTCCCTGATAGCCATTTCCATCTACAGTGAAATTAGTGGTTATGGTGAAACAGTGTTTAACACTGGTCAGCTACACATCTATAGTTAGAAAAGCCATCTACAACGTACTGTGCAACAAACAGTTTCTTAATCAACAGCTTAATCACAGCAGTTACGTACCAATGCCCATAAGTGTAGGAATTAATGAACAGTGCTCTACTTTGCTTGCAGTAATTAGGTTTATCTACTACTGATTTTTTTTTTCTTTCCTAGAAGCAATGTCACTACAATGTGAAAGTGTTATTCATTACAGATGTGTTCCTACATCAATACAAACATCAGTTACAGGGCTGTGGTTTCAGGTATGCGAAACAGGGTTCTGTAAACAGGCAGTGCAGGAGGCGGCAAATAAGGCTTATATGGCAGGAGTATGACTTGGAAAAAGGGTACAAGCAGCAGTGATAAATCCAGCCTATTTTAAGTGTGGGAGAACTTCACCTGAATTATTTCCTCCACCCTATTATAACTTTAATTCTACCTTACACAGCACGTAACCACTACATGTCTGGCAGCTGAACAGTGCTTCTGTAAATGCTGTATACAGAAGGAGTATTTTAAGACAGTAGCATTTGAAAAATTTCAAAGTCTGGGTGGGATGACCATCTTATACAAATTTCAAATGCTGAGCAGAGACCCAAGACGAAGCAAGAGGACAAGCAAATAGGATAAAACACACGCAGCCTTGGCTTACAACTTCTATACCAATTTGCTATGCAGTCAGACCTAACTAAGAAAAAACAGATACCTGCAAAATTCTCCTACCCCATCTTCTAGGTGGTTCTCTCACAATCTGAAGAAACAAAATGAGCAGCTATTTAACTAAGAAACATAACTATCCACAACAAAAACAGTGAATCAACAATTGGAAGGTTGTCATTGCTCACCACACAGTTACTCTCTCAGTTCTCTATCTTCACAGATTATCTTCATCAGCTTCTTAATGTGTCTTACAGTTTACCTATATGTAATACAAAGTGTGGAAAGATTTTAAACACCAGATGTATTTACAGTAAAATCATCATTACATGTATGAAACCATGAATACTATATTTGTAACTAGTGGTGAAGAAATAGTTAAATGGAGAATGTGGTCACAGCCTATTTAATAAAGAATCAGGCCCTGTTCACCTAGAGACAGGCAAACATCTGCAGACAACTCAACAGATGAAAAAGAATAAAATGTGAGAAAGTATCAAATACAGAAAATACTGAGTCTGCTTCAGACTTCCAACAGCTGTGAATTCCTCTTTCACATTTTAACCAAGCAGTTTCTGAGTCAGGCACAAATTTACCCATGAACTCTGGCTGTGAAACGCACTCTTGCGAACTTGCTGCTGTCGCATGTATTGGCCCAATCCTTTCCACTGATGGAAAAGCACAGCTGGCCCTGCCTTGATGGGTACGCACGGAAAATCCTTCGATTCCTCAAGATTCAGGGAAATCTTCTACCTCTCTCCATTCTGGAATAAAAGACAGCTGAAAATGATTTTTCATAAGGGGAACTGCTCCAAGCTTTTTAGACAAATTAGACTTAAATTTAATACGAGAGCTAGCAAGAAACCCCAAAATACGTAAGTTATCTAGCTCACTATTTCTAATGTAAAGGACCCCTGATCCAAGTTCTGCTCATGAAGTAACAAGCTTGTTTTGAGTGAACAGAAACATGTAGAACAGACTCTCTCACCAAACAGCCTCAGTATCTTTCCAGGTCAGCCTCAGCAGTTGCATTGTACAGAACTGTAGAATGAACCAGCAGGAATCCAGGTCTTTTTTCTCAGTTCTGTTCCCATACCCTCACTTCCCAGAAGAGCACATACTGAGTCCTTCTGTTCCCAAAATCCACTACTTGGGGCACCTTCCCCTAATAATGGAATTGTAAAGTGCTCAAGAACTGACCAAACCTACTGTAGATGAAGATGGGGGAAAGGCAGATTCTTAAAACTATTCTGAGGATGCAGTGGAGAAATAAGGGTATGGACTAATCAGATATTTCCACCCTGATGAATTTCCCCTGAAAGGTTTAAAAGTGCATATTTTATTTGAAGCAAATGTCTACTACCCTCAGGGTAAATCCTCAGGCAAATTTTCAGGCTGTCAGAGCACACAAAAGCCCTTGCTACTAAAAATAAATAAATCCAAGATTAGCCCATAACTTGAAGTGATGACTTTTTATTTCATGGGAAAAAAAAAAAAAAGCCCCCAAACATTCCGCTATTGCAGTTTGTAAAATTTTCACTGTTTTCAGTAGAAACAGTTCATAAGTCAGAACTCAATGTTCAAAATAACATTGTGCAAAATAGTACTGGCATAACTAAACATAGCAAAGAGACAAGTGTAAATCAAGAATTCCACAGAAATTAGTTGAGCTGCTCCAGTTTTACACCAGTGTACATCACCCAAGAATAGGCCCTTTTTACAGAACATCCCTGGAATTCCTCTTGCTTACAAAAACTGCATTCCATGCAACAAATAACCTAATCAGTACAACATATACAAGAACCTCCACAAGTTATCACAGTGTAACAGAGGAAAACATATCAGCCAACTTCATACAAAGGCAAATCTAATGGCAGTTTTGAACACCCCTTCACTGCTACCCTCAAAAATTCCACATTTCAATAAATGTAATTATTTAGAATAAAGCCAAGCAATATTCTTAACTATCAGTATATTGACAATTTGGGTAGATGAGGTGTCCAGAAAGGTTTTTCAGTTTTTTTTTTTACTTACTAGATTTTCCAGAGAAAGTTGTTTCAAAAGGAATTTGTGTAAGAAATGTTAAATTGCAGTGTTATCAGGCCAAGTGCTCTTCTGCAATTCAGATAGACCTGTCAACACTACAGAAGTGTCTGTAGTCAAATACAAATCCCAGTGAAGACTATTAAACAAAGACCATACCCTAAGTATTTACTGATGACATGCAATGAAATCAAGCAAGCAGTAACAGGACTCCATTTACATTTGGAGCATTCAGAAAGAGACTGTTGCAGTTCAGTTGGGGTACAGGACTGGAATTTTACAAAATACTTGTGAACAGTTGACATTCTCTCCTCACTTGACACGCAAAGTAACAGTTTCGAAACAATGTATCTAGGTCATTCTTTGTATAAACAAAATTCTAAGAGCAGAACTGATTTTTAGAGTTGCTGAACACTCACAAACTCATGTCAAGAAAATATACAGGCACATCTTTCAGTAAGTGGTCATTTCATTTTCCTACATACCCAGGTTTGGAAAAAGAATTCCATAAGAACTCTTTGATTACAGTAAAACCAATTCTTCCACAATGCCTTTCATCTCCCTAGGTTAGGAAAGGCGTACCTTCTATTACTTTTTTCAAAAGTGAACATTTTTGTTTTAATACATGCCAACCTGGTTTGTGTCTAAGCCATAACAACATCCTTAGGCTAAGACATTTGACAAAGGACAAACTTAAACTATAGAGTTATATGAAGAAAGCACAGTCCTGACCTTCTCAGGTATTTGGATGCTTTTATGTCTTTTTTGCAGGTTATATTCATTTCATGAGATCAAGAATGACACACAAGCTTTGCTTTGGAGATACGTGTAAGTGCACATCAGTTCTAGATGAGAACAGGTCTACAGTTTGTCTATAAAAAAAGAGACTCTTACAAATACCAGTCCTGCCTCAAACCATAAAGATAAAAGCGGCAGACCTATGCAGACTGTACGCGTCTGTGGGCACAAGTCAAATGGAAATCAAGATACCCAAGAAGTCACGCTGCTGCACTGGTCTTTGTAACTGCAAGTCTCTGGTGACTCTCTCTATGCATCCTCCTTTGCCCTTTCAGTTTCATAGAGAAGCTGTCAGGTACTCAGCAAGGAAATATGGACATCACTGGCAGTGAGTTACTGTGAAGACATCAGTTAACATTTCAGAGATGGCAGAGAGAGAACATATAATACTTCAGCAAGGAATTATTGCTGTACCACGGAATTCTATTAGTCTCAATAAGCAACAAGAAGTTAGGCCTGCGGCCAAAGAAAGGTTAATGGATATGACTGTGTTTTTCTTCCCAAAAGGCTCAGCTTCAGTGTTTTCCAACAATCCCAGATTCTCAGCTCCAGGAAATTGGATTTTATAACAAACAAAAATATAGCCCTGAGACTAAACATACTTTAAGAGCTGCTATTGCTTTACATAAATCAAACACAGCAATCATTTACTTCCACAGTACACAGCATTTAATTTTCACTCCTTTTTTTCCTCACTTGGGATGTGTACATGGAACCAAGAACTTCTTTCTAAGATACATGCACTCAAGCATTACCTGTTACTTTTCCAAGTACTTAAATTTGTTGCTACAGGATTATGGCAGCAAGCAAGGAAAGAATAGCTGAAGCAAGTAGAACTTTAACAAAAGAGTCCTCTTCCCTTGTGTCTTGAATTTTTTAAAAAGGATTCCAATAGTCATAGCTGCCACCACAGACCTTCATTACAATGATGACCTCCTTCCTTGTGACTTATGTAGAATTTACAACTGGAGGAACACCATTTAGTATATCTCAAAATCAACTGTCAAGTGTTACCGAACACTGTCACCAGCCTTTAAGTGTGGCTAGAAATGTAAAAATACCAAGAAAACAGGAATATCAAGCATGCCAAGTTGCACATAAAAATAGACCTTTAATTTTTCTTCTGCTACAAAGTAGGCAATCAAGGAACTGACTAGGTCTATGCATAGTTCAGATTTAAAGTATGCCAAAAGAACTTGAACTTTTTCAGTAAAACTGCTTGAGCAATGCATGGGTCAACCCCCCCCCCCCCCAAAACTGAATACCCCACTCTATACATAACAGAATTTTAAAAAAGCTCCATGCACTCTCAAGGCTATTTTGAAATTGATTTAAATACTTTATCCAACAGCTCTGCTATGGCACAAGACAGCACATAAAAAGTTTAAGGTTAATTTTTGTACGCACATATCTAAAAGCTGGTCTCAGAACAAGAGCTGTCATATCTTCTTAATTGTGAGTCTTTAGTGTGGATTCATAATAAAGTAAAGCTGTCACAGCAATAGAAGAGTTGTCCTGCATATAAAAAAAGACTGATGTCCTGAATGCAGTTTATTTTTATAAAAAGCAAAATCCTCACACATTTACATTTGGTTTTTATCAGAGCAGCTCACTAATTTGTACAGTACACTTTCCAATAACATACAACGTAAACTACCAAAAGGATGCTCAAGTACTACAACAACAGGTGCAAAAGAAAGTCCTAGGGTAAGAAAGCCCACTGCTATTTGGGAGAGTCACAACAAAAACAAACATCAGAATGCAGTTTTGGTGAAGTCAGTTAAGTCTCAAGGCTGTAATAAAGGCTCTTTTTTAACGTTAGCCCTTAGGTTCTTAACCATTCAAGTTAAGATCTCCTGATAAAGCACTAGGTAGTTTGGCATTGATGGAGAAGCTCTTTACATGCTACTGTTAAAGAAATAGAAAACAGACTTACAAGCACTTCCTTCACCTGAATGATCTGATCTTCCATGAATCCAGTCATTCTAGGTTTAAACAAATCCATCTAAAGCAGTAAATTTTAGACTTCAAATTGCACTGTTAACTGTTTCAGAAGAAACTAATATCCACAAAAAAACAGAAAATAATTACCAACTGGCCAAATTACACAAATTTGATGCACAAAGCCACTTATTTTAAAACTCTGTCCCTCAACAACTTCTTCAGTGTATCATAGCTGTTACGTCAAAACAGAGTTCTTTAGTCCCATCTGCATAATCCTATGTTTGGATGGGAAGAATGATAATAAACCAATTTAACAGGTCTAATATTTTAGGACTTCCTGATACATCTTTCACTTGCAGAATTTTTGCATAATGTTTTAAGAAGGGGCTCATTATACTATATGAACACAGGACTTGCGCATGCTAGTGTGATTTACATTTAGTTGCTGAGTAAAGTACGTTGCTATCACTTATTTATGCAGGATTTAAAGGAACAGTAAACGTGCATAAAAACAATGACTATTATCTGCACAAGTATGCAGGACTTTTTTTCTCCCAAGTGAAATGTTTACAACCAAATTTACCATATTAAGCACTGAACAAAATTGTTGTATTTGCACTATGATCCTTAAATAAATGCAGTTATGAGGGGACCTGAGTATGGAACTGATCCATGGAAGCTATGTATATGGAAACCAGCGAGAACTGCTCACGTGTAACAGACCAATATTCAGATCCAGACTGTTCACAATGACATTTAAATTGAAATTACTGCATCTAACTCTGTAAAAGAAGTACAAGGTCAACTCATTTTATCAGTTGATATGACACTGGTATTCAGGTCACTGTAGGTTTTTGGATACCTATATTGTATTTACTCAAACCCAAGTAATGCACTCCAGGGAGGCATAAGAAACCCCACTGAAGTCACTGAACAATTGCTGTTTGCAATTGCCTTTCCCCCCCATTTTCATCTTTTATTATCATTTCAAAGGAACCACAAACTGCTGCATATCAGGACAGACCAGGTACCAAAAAAATCTTCTGTTTTACATGCCAGCCTAATTTGCTAGTCAAAAAGGGAGAATGTATCTGCTGCTGTCAACTTCTGTGTAACGGATACCATGCCTGACAAACCATCACCTTTAACAGACACACAAAACACCACTATGACAAAAGGGAAAAAATCATGCACAGATATTTCAGTATTATGTGGCCAGGGTCTATAATACAGTGATGAGTCACATCAGAGCAAACTTGTGCCAAGAGTGATTAATGATTCAGGCTGACTAACTCCTTAAGTAGCCAAGCAAGCCCGTAAGAGGCAAGTAGCATATTTTCTGGAAGAAAGAATACCGAGTAAGAGAATAACATGTTTTTTCCCCAACCCTGCACAAAAATCCTACGGACAAATAGAACAATACAGGGGCAAGTGCTTTAAAATGCAATTTTCCAGCCAATATATCAACATTGGTGGGAATTCTGTGAAGAAAGGAGTTTTAAGAACATGACTTACCTGAAGCATAAACTTCTGATATAAAAAAAATGTACACTATATACTAACACTACTTTTTGGATACTTTTCTGTTTTAAAAGTTTCCAGCGTATTAACTTGTCTTATTCTGTTTAGGGCTGAGGCTGTTCAGCAAGGTCATGTAATTTGAGACTGCTGAAATACTTCAGCAATCCTTTGGTCCCAGCAGCTGTAAAACAGCCAAGTTAAAAGAACCTTCCCTACAAAAAAGTAAAAATAAGAGCGAGGAGGGGATCCATCACCAGGGAAGTGTCTTCTAAATATCATCTGCTACGCACCAGAAAAGGCAAATTTTTGTTACAAAATACACATTTTCATACAAAAGACATCTTGCAAAACCATCAGATTGCCCCTCCCTCTGCAGATTACAATGGTAAATGGGATCAGCTGGTTGGTCTTGAGATCTTTGTTTTAATGGGAAAAAAAACAAAGGACACACAGCATCACAACAACTGGTCCTTTAAATAGCAAAGGATTATGACAGTCTTTGTTTTCACCAGTGTTTAAAAAAGCAGGAGAGAAACAGAACCAGACTCTTCATAAGCAGAAAGTGCAACAGGGTATCAGCTGCTGCATCCTCCTGAACTTCTCAATGTGCTACCAAACTGTCAATTATACAAACAGTTCAATTATGACAGTACCATAAATTGTTAAAACAATGCAAATTGTGATCAGAAAGGTCCAGTCAACTGGTTCCACTTTTTTTCCCAGTAGTTGCCCAGAAAAATGTCAAGACAATCTAAATCTATCCTTCAGCTTCCTCAATATGTCCCGATTGCTGAAGTATAGAGGTCTGTGGTATTACTGTACTTGTTCCACGAGAGATCCTGTCTTGATCTGTGTTTGTAGACAAGGAAGCCATAGAAATGGGTTGTAACAAACTGGGAGCCATGCCAGAGGAGACAGTCAGGCTGTGCGTAGTGCCCTTAAGTGTGAGATCCTGTGTGGGAAGAAGTGGCTTGAGGATGCTGACAAGACAGAAAGCAGAGCCACTTTTAGGAATGAAATTCACTTTGTTCTTGTCAGGGCAGTAGAAGGCTGGAATTTCATGCAATGCTTTTGGCCTAGAAATAAAATATACACAATAGTTTTAAAATGACATTGAACAATCAAATTCTGCCAATGGTAGGTATGCATTGCTGAACACATCACCAGAAACAAGTTTGCGTTTAAACTTGAAGTATTTCATCATTTCAGTAGCGTACTTACACTTAATAAGACACTTACACCACACAGCACATGGCAAGATGGTTTAAATTGCTTGTTTACATACACTATGAAATAAACAGCACATTCTTAGGGCAGGCTGTCTCCAAACCCAAGAAAGACACTAAATTCATGTTGCAGATCACAAACCCTGTCAATGAATTAGCATATCCAATATATAAGAAAGTATTATCAAGCACATTCTCCAGAAACTTTCACAACCCAACAAGTTCTGCCCCACAGACACTCTTGATGCAGCAGACCTTGTGACAGAAAGCTGGTATAGCTATGTTCCAAATATTGCATATCTAAGAGCTGTTCATGATCACAGGAAGGTACCCTTTTCCAGACTTTTGCCTCTGCTTGCTCACCTGACCATTGCCTGAATCTCTGTAAAATATGAGCCGGTCTTACTCAAAAACTCATTACAGAGAGTAAAATGTAGTATTCCCATCATGGCATTCATGATCAAGTACCTATAACCCAGGAAAGATGTGTGGCACACACATTTGGATCCTGACTTGCAGTTTTGCCATCTCAGCATATAATTCAACCAACTCAGAGACATGCTTTATGAAAAAGAGAGATGGAAGGGAAATTGTGGATAGCACATGAATGCCTTCCGTGCCTATCTCTAACCCTGCAATGTAAATCTACTAAGCTAGTCTAACTCAAAGACAAAACTATGTGAATCTGTTTCAAAAACTCTTCCCTGCTGGAAAATAACCATCCCTGCTGGAAAATAACCATCACACACTCATTTTTTCTTGTTGTCAGCACTGTCCTTTAGCCTATAACCCCTCCTCTCTTCCATGTGTTCTTAAGACAACCATGTGCACTTCTGTCTTCATTCTACCGGGCCAAGCAAGCCAATCTTTCAGTGTATTCTTGTAGGAAATACACTACTCTGAAAAGTAATTCTGTTCATGAAAAAGGGTACATTTCCATGTTATCTGATTCTCCAAGTGTCTATAAAATTCAGACCCATTTATTTCGTTTTTTTCCACAAATGAAAATCCTGTAAACTTCAAATAGAAATAATGTTAAAAGGCTGAGCTTTAAACAGTTACGTGTATTCCATCCATGTGTTGAATGCAAGTACCAGATGTGAGAAAGACTTTTGCATGAGACTGCAGTGTCTAAGAACTACCATAGCTAGGTAAAAATTATTCAGAAGCCTGTTTCATTCTACAGCAGAACAGTCCTACAGCTATGCAGCAAGGACATCCAAAAAGAAATGGAAACACAAGTCAAATCACAATAAAATATGTTCTTGGACCAAATGAAGACTATCTATTCTGTTGGCAGCACAGCTTAAACACTCTAAGATACTCTTAGAGTATCTAAGATACTCTAGAGTAACTGTAAGCATTTCCACATTGCTTTGGAGAAGCCAGAGACCTCTCAAAATCCATATGCAGACATCAGAGGTAGGAAACACAAAGGCAGCTATAATTTTTAAAATTATTATTTATATTAGATAGCATTATACTCTTCGTGTGATGAAATTTTTAACTGAAGGTTAAGATTCTTATATCCAAGTGACATAACTGTATAAAAACTCCACTGAAAAAAAAATAGTAAAACAAAAAAACCCAGAATATTCCCAAATGACCAAAGTCAGCTTTTTCAGAATAACTAAGGCATCAAATACTCAGGGTCAAATTCACTCCTCTGTCACTAAAACTTTTACAACTACACAGATGTAGCTGAAAAGAATATAGTCTTCAGAGTCTAGATTACTGGATGTGCCTGTCAAGCTGTGACATATATTTGCTGACGCACCTGCGTTACAGCTTCTTATTACATCTCTCTGTACCTGATTGAGTTCCTCCCCCACTATCTGCCAGGTAAGAGACAGTCTTGTCAGGTTATGCTGGTTTTAAAAGAAAGTCTCTCGAGATTTTGATTTTAACAAAAATTCCAACAATAAAATACATACATATATACCAATACATAGTCACACAAAACAGAGATCAGGCTGTTAACATGGTTTTAGCAACTGAACTAGTAATTTTGATCTGACACAAAATCAATAAACCAATAGGTAATTCTGAATGTCATTTCTTATGTAGTAAAGATCAACTTACAAGCTTTCCTCAAAGACTTTCACCTTTTCACAGCCCTCTGGAGGTTCACGCTTGAACATGTAGCTGTTGTTGGGTTTTGGTGAGGTAGCATATTTTGGCAGGGGAGAATTATTACCATTCTCTGTAAGAACAAAGCATCTCATTATTTAAACGTGTTACACTATTAAGAATAAAACCAATCTTTAAATGCCCCCCAAACTGAAACACACTTCATTACCAATGTTATAAAATTAAGAAACATTTTAATTTGCCTCGAAGTATTCATTTGCAAATAAGCTTCTTATCTCAATCCCTTTCCTCCTTTCTATTTCTCCTTATATCCTTTTCAGGCTCCTCTGCAATCTCTGTTAGAAACTGAAAGTGTCCAGAAATTAACTGCAAACCTGAATCTATGGTCCTGTGTGATCACTATCTAGCCAAAAGAAATGGGCAGAAGCAATATTCCTTAAAAACCAGAACAGGTTTATGTTGAACGATAAAGTTCTCTTAGTATATCTCAGAAGATTTCTGGTAAAAAAAAAAGACTAACTAAACCCCAAATATTTAAGCTTTTACAGGTGCATGTATGAAATCCGGAAGGTTGCCCATTTTGTCTGAGATCATAAAAAACACCCGACACAAGCAACAGGACCAGCCTACTTTGCTGTTCCATCTGTCACTGTACACCCTTGCTACTTCAATTAGCTTAGAGTACTTGAAGAATCTATTATTTAAAAACAAAACTTGTTTGGGAAGCACATTCTTCAGTCACATCAATCTAGCTTCATTACAAAGCACTAGATACGTGCGCAGGCAGTATTTGGAGCAATTTGAAAAAAACAGATCACTTGCGAAGAAGAAAGTTCTACCATTTCTCCATCGATATGGGAAACAAAACCCCTTTTCTACTATGCATTCATGCACATAGCAACAAGTTGAAGTTCAGCATTGTTGAACTTTTCAAGTTACACAGTACCTTTATCTCTGGGATCAGCAACAAGATCATCTGTAGAACATGGACTTTCTTCACTGCCTTCATTAGAGATGGTAAGAAATGAGGTTGGAGATACTGACTGGGAACGGCTGCTGTTGTTACTACCCATGTCTGCTCCACCAGGTGTTTGAGTATCAATGCTGCGAGTACTACTACTACGCTGAACCAATGGAGGTGGTGCACGGTGCCCATCTGGAATATCTTGAGCCTGTTAAAAACAAAAGGTATCAGATGGCTGCTCTTGTCTGGTTAGCAATTTCTTTAAATCCAGTAATGCTAAGGGTTTTTTGGGGTTTCCTAAAACTGTTTGAACTAGAAAATTTTATTCATTACACAAGATTTCAACAGAAAATAAAGTCAGGTTCAGAAACTAAGGACAGCAGTTTTCAAGGATTCACAGAATTGCTGAGGTTGAAGGGACCTCTTGAAATCATCTAGTCTAACACCCCTGCTCAAGCAGAGTGAGCTAGAGCAGTCTGTCCAGGACTGTGTCCAGTCAAGCTTTGAATATCTCCACAGACAGTGATTCCACAACCTCTCTAGGCAACCTGCTCCAGTTTTGAGCAGCCTTGCACATTTTAAACAAACCAACAAAAAGAGTGCATTTTTCTTGCGTTCAGATTGAATGTAATGTTTTTTAATTTATGCCCACTGCCTCTTGCCCTGTTATTGGGCACTACTGAGAAGAGTCGAGCTCCCTCCTCTTCATTCCTTCACATCAGATATTTATACACATCGATAAGACTCCCCTGAGCTTTCTCTTCTCAAGGCTGAACAGTCCCAGCTCTCAGACTCTCCTCATATGAAAGATGTATCCAGTCCCTTAATCATGTTCACAGCCTGCATTGCTGTTATTTTATTACTAAATTTACCTCTAAAAATACCTAAAAATAAAATGAAAATTGAAAATAGGCAAGTTACACCTCAACTGCAATGAGGATAGTTCATCATGGGAAAAGAAAAGAAAAACTTACTACAAAAATTCTCAAAACAGACTTTTTACCTTTTGTCTTTTCCCCTGTTTTACTGAGATTTCTTATTTTATTTGAAAACTAGTTACATCACAATAATCACAGAGGAAAAGGTTCAGATTCAAGCTTTAACTCTTTCCTTCTTTTTTATTTCCAAGAGACTTTTCAACTACCTTTATTAAAGAAAGCAAAATTAATTCCAGACAAATTTAATCCAAAAACTGTGCAAAACAAAGCTTATGACTTGCAAACCTCCAAGCAAAGCCAAAATAATTAGAGAAAGCAATCATGGTCGAAGATACATACAACAAGCTGTTCCTCTTTGTCTCCCGTCTCTTTAATTATTATCTCAATCTCCTGATTCAGTCCTTCTACACTGTTACGGAATCGTGATCCTGTTGATTTGGTAATAGGTATCACAGGAACAAGAGCACTCTTTGGGATGGGAGCCTGAAGAACCAAAGACAGTGAGACAGCTATGCAGATTTACTTACAAAACACAGCTACTATTTCTACTCAAAAGAGAACCTTTAAACAGAACACATCTATATCTCAATACCAAGGATTTATATGAAACGATAGCAACTGTGTTAAAATGGATGCCTTAAATGAAGACACAGATATCGCACATTTTGTTTCAAATCTAATTTCTAGCAGGAAAAGCCTTCAACAATCTAGTCTCAAAGCCTCCCTTGATATGGTCTGCCTCCAGCTGGACACTGTTTTACAAGTGAAAATTTAACAGTAAACATTTAAATGTAAGTAATTTTGAAGCCTTTAAAAAGATATTCACATTCCTTCTGAAGTGACCTGTACCACAATTTGACTTCCTTCACTTTGGGATTTACCACTTGTAATTTCATTAAAGTTGTATTTTAATGTAAGTCTGCTGTCACCTACAGTAACATGACACACAGAGAAGGGATATTATTCCACAAATGAAAGATTGCACTAAGCTAGAAATGAAGACCAACATAGTAACTGCATTAATTCAGAATATAAGGTTGACAAAACAATTTATTAAGACTCCCACAGAAAGAATTCCAAACCCAAATGTTAGTACATAGTTGCTTCAGAATGAAGATTAACATTTTAAAAATCCAATGTTTCAAAGTATGCATGAAAACTCTATTTTCGGAAAACATGTTACCAAAGCTTTCTAAAGGTTGCTTTGGTATACCACAACTCCAAGATTTCCCACCCTTTCCACTGGCATCATCCCCCCATTAAAAAAATCACGCCCCCAGAACATCAGAAGATTCTGCCCTAAACATCAACCCAGGCTGGTGGTGATCATGCAAGGTACTACTACAGACAATGGAATGTTTCCTGCAAACATTTAGTTCAAGAACGGTATGACACAAAGTCACAGTATAATTCCTGCATAAAAATCCTAGACACTGTGACCTAGTGTGCCATGATTGAGAACATCTCCTCCACTGATTGAAAGACGGTAGCATCCTTATCTGGTCTTCAATGCGGCTTATTTATTTATTTATTTATTTATGTAATTTTTCCTCTAAGTAACAAGACTGTGCACAGACACACCAAAACATTGTGACTTCACAGGAAATTCTCAAAAATCACACAAAATATGTCTGGCAGAAAAACTGCCTTACAAAAATTAATGTAAACAAGTGCAGATCATAATGTAGACTTATTCTTACAGTGACAAATCTCTAAGGCGGCAACACAAATTATATCGGTTTTGCTTTACTGAAACATTAGGATAGCTATAAAAAAAGACTTGCACAAGGACTACAAGAGCTTCTGTTCAGGAAATGTTTATGACTGTTTATGTCAACAAAAACTAAACATTCTCATAATGGCTCATCTTGGAAAGACTTTCAAAAGTCTTGCCTGAAGATGAAAAAAAGAAAACAGAAACCACTAGAGAAGAGCACAAAAAACTATGAGAAAGCAACACTGCTAGATCTGTTCTAAATAAGCCCTTGGATCAACAGTCCAGTAAACTAATACAGGTATATCAGCACAAGCTTAGGCACTAATAAAGACTGTTTATGCACACAGTTATTAAATATACACATTCTTAGGACAAACTGAACTTGTTAAAAAGTGGAAAGCAGAATGCAGAGCTTGTCTAAAATTTCAACAGCCATTAGCAAAACATGAGAATTCTCTATTCTTTAAATATGATTGTCTGCTACAGAAATTCTTAGAATCATGGTACTATTTGAAGATCTCAAAGTAGAAAAGTACAAGTTGCTCCAGAGTTCACTATGGTTCAATACAGCATATTTCACTTCCAAGAGAAATAATATTCTGTACATGTCTGAGGATGACTTGTTAACCCGGAATGCCAGAGGGTGGAAAGTGAAGGAGATACTGTTACAGTAGTGGAACAACCAGCCTCTAAACAAGAAACTTTATCTTAGAAATACTGTCTTCACATAGGTCTGCATGGAGCTGGCCCCTGACATGCCGGAATAGGCTACCAACCATTGACTACTCATCTGCATATTTGGGAATGCACAAAATGAAGCAAGGTGCCAAACACAGGATAAAAATTACAGTGCTCATGTAACACCACACTGTCTGAGAGTTTTGGTGAAAGACCATTAGAGTCTTCAAACTTACAGGTGTGGCATAAACTCATGAGATAAGAAATATGGGTGATAGACAAATTTAAAATGTTCACAGGCATTTTAGAAAAATGCTCTAAGCCCTTCCAATTTTTCAACAAGCAACAGAACTTTAAATAGAATCCAAGGTCTTTTGATACTTTTGCATATTAATATGAATCTATCTCGAGGTTGAATGCATCTCTAAAAATGAAATGTTCTACCTATGTAAGGTGGTAAGAATCACACACAAAAAAACCCCACTGCAAACTGCACACAGTTGGTCTCAGTATTAGTGGTTGCTTAGAATCAATCAATTGGTAAGATATTAAGGACACATGCTTCCCAGGAAAGCGAAAGAAGGGGCTTGATGGTTCATAGTCTCAAGTAGCAATATAACATCAGCTAAGTGCACTGAGGAAAAAAAGATTAAAGACCTAATCAATTTATTCTTCCATCTGGCTTCAGCTTTGGCCTCAATTCTAGTTTCTCCATTACATTAACACTGAGAATAAACAAAGATCCCACTGTTTTGACTCCTGTTTACAGATTTAGTACCATGCATTTAATTCAAAATCCAACATTCTCAGAAACATCCTGAGATCACCTGAGGAGTCTATGACCTTTCTGCAAACCCCTCTTCCTGTAAAGAGAAGCAGCAGAATGGAACATTTCTTGCATTACACATACAAAAAAAAAAAAAAGGCAAAAACCATACAATTGCTCTGGAAAGAAACGCAGTTAGAAGCAAGGACTTGATCAAGTTCCTCACCAGCTATTTCTTGATTCTGAGCAGAGGGACAACCATAGCTGAAAAGCTTATTCTATAAAGATTGCGTGGATTTCTTTCTTCAAAGAAAAATCATAGAAGAAAGAAGCATAACTGAACAACCAGTTGGAGACTTTGGTGGTAAGAACCACTGTAAAAATTCTGGTAATACTCAACAATTGTGGCAGAGCTTAAGTGTTTATTAGTAGGGAAGAAAATATCCACTGGATTGGCATCTTTCAGTTTTAACAAGAAGAGTAAGCCATTTCCAAAATGTTAAACTGAGATTACCTCGTTTCTGTGAGCAGACTACCAAGACAATTTCCTAACACATTTTCTTGGCCTTGTCAGGACTCCAACTCCAAGCTCAGAAATCTTTGTATGACCCTCTAAAGTCAACATCTGCAAGCTTCCTTCAAGTTGGGAATGTAAAAAAAGTTTCTAAATATTCTAATCACTAACTGGAAGTGTTTCCACACAGTCCTTCCCACAAATCCTGAAAGAACTGAACTGCTGCCAGAAATTCTAGTTTAGCAGTTCCCTAGAAAGGAACGAGAGAGGCTAGGAACTTTGCCCTTGGTGCCTACAATTACAGATTTTCACTCTGACTTAGAAAGCAGCCTCTAAATGCCAATAATCTAAACCCTTCACTTAACTCTTTTTGAAGCCTTCTGTAACTTCCTCCCTTCACAAGTAGCTCAACACAGCTGGCACAAAATTTACCAAGAAAAACAATGATTAGTTTTGTAACACAATGCTGGAAAAGCTACTTTGCCTTAGTTTATATTTTATAGTCTGTTTCACAAGCCCCAAAACTAATTATCTGTTGTGCAATGTTTTATTCACATACTCTAAAATTTGGCAGAATGCAAGAGACCTCCATACAAGAAGCAAAATTTCATGAGCATAATAAAGTAATTATGATGCCCCAAAATTTATATACATATTTGGGGGGGGGGGGGGGGGGGGGGGTGTTTCAGAGTAGTAGCATCACTGTTCATTTTAAAAATTAAAAACCACTAAGGTTATCCATGTTAAAATGACAATAGTTTAGCATTCAGAAACCTACAGGTTTGTAGAATACCAACATAAACCTGCTAGATGGCATGTAATTCTCCAGTGCACTGAAGGGCCTACACTAAAAGTTCCTCGCTATACTTTTTTTTTTTTTTTTTTGCTTGAAATGCCTCAATTGCCCACAAGGACAGAACAAATCTACAAACAAGTTCTACAAATTTGGATAAAATACCTCCATCAAGTATTTTGACCCACCTTTTTTTTTTTAAATGTGTCTCACCAATTTTCATAACCTCTGCAGAGGGATTGGGTCATTTATTTGCTTTACTTTCATCATTTTGGACTGTTCTGACAGCAGTCACCAAGATTAGCAGCATACTACACTAAAACCGCACTTCAGTAAAGCAGATCAAAATGTAGGAATTTTTACTAGACAGCCTGTTTCACATTCAAACTGTTCTTCTGCTGTACAGAGGAGGATGAAACAGTTTCTGCTTTGAAATTTAAAGAGTTTGAAGAAGTAATTCCCACATTGTTATGTCAAAAATTCTAATTATAAAGAAAAATCCTAAATACAATACTTCTAGTAGCACAGAATTCAAACTAATAACAAACTGAATTAGAGAGGCACTTATGTCCTGAAAATTCATGACTCCTAATTAAATCAGTTACAGCAAAGGAAACAGTTTTCATTAACCGGTATCAAAGTACAATATTTATTAAAATAATGCTAACTGCATTTCAGCAATAATTGAAAATATGATTAGATCTGCAGAAAAGCTTCACAGCAGAAGTACTTTCTCAATTCACTACAGGGACAGTTCCACAGTTTTTCAACTACACTGACTTACAAGGCATTTGTGATGGATCCGTTCTTTCTGTAACTGTTAAAAGAAATGGTGTGCGTATCATAAATATACATTCATGAGATATCAGTAGGGTGGAAAAAAAAAGTTTTCTTTTGAAAACATTACTAAAATTTTCTATTGGTTTTCTTAAAGTTACTCAAGCAAAACAGACTTGAAAAAGGATCTGTGTATCTAAAAGCCTGCCATTTTTTCCACCTGCTATCAATTGAGCTAAAAATACTACCTCTGTGAACCTGATCTCATTAACAGTCTTGGGATACAACTAAAAGTGCACACAGAACATGTAGTGGCCTAAACAATCACCATTTCTGAAGTGATCACTACTTAAAGTCTCAAGGCATGATAAATTATGGGGGGGGTGTGGGGGGGAAATCTTACAAAGGCTGAATGAAGCCATCAAGAATATAAACACTTTTAATAGAGTACATAAAAATCCCATTGAATAGCCTTTTGTCAGTTAAAATCTCTAAATCAGTTCATCATTGGATTAGACAAGTGCTATTGTCAAGGCACAAAACACGATCAGCAAAAACTACAATTTTATCTCGGTGTCATTTTATCACCGGTTTGCTCCATGCCATATTCTATATGCAAATTCATAATTGTTACAGCAATGCAGAATGAAAGAGATACTCTATGGGTTTTAGATTAAACATATCTGTCATCCTTTTGTAGAGTCTGCAGAATGCACTTTAAAAGTCCTCCTCTGCGGAAGGATTTAACTATCTGAAATTCTTTGAAAGTGGGAGTTTAAAGCCAACCCAGTCAAGTATCAATGAGATCTGGGACCCCATACACACAAGGAATTCAAAGGAAAATGATCTATTTCAGAGAATTCACCTCCAGCTACAACATATTTAGCAGTCTGTGGTATTTCCAAGTTTCCTTTCAGACAAATCACAACCTTGAAAGGAGACAAAAATAGTCTTAGTTACCTAAAATGTCCAAAAAGTGCACAGCCTTACCTGACTATGGTTAATGGCTGCATGGTTACCATGAAATGGAGACTGTCTGTCTTTATCCCGATGATGCCTACTGCTGTGTTTGCTCCTTTGCAACTGTTGACGTAATTTTGCAATCTAATAAAGGAAAAATTCACATTAGATTTCACCAGATATATTCAGGTACACACATCGTTTCATCAATTTATTCCATCACTTAGTTAACATTCTTTACTACAACAATGTTCATAATTATTGCCAGCACTAAATTAGACTCAAGTTCTTGCAGACATAATATGTCAGCTACCAGTTCTGCTGAAGCCCAAGACATACCTCTGGAGGCTTAATGAAAGAACTTGAAATACTTAAAGTTTGAAAGTAGTTTGGTCATTGCTGTATTTCCTCCTTTGATGAAATATGTCACCTGCATTTGACACCTCCATTCCCACACATTCAGATTAAAAATTTTAATAGTCCTGCCCTATTATATGAAATCAATACCAAATGAACAGCTATGTCTTATTTTTTACCAAGCCCTCAATCTGTATAATAAAACAAAGCAGTAGAATACTCATGTCTTCCTGAAAACTCACAGTAACAGCGCATACCTTTAAAAAATTTAATCCAAAGGTATCTCAAAAATAGTATTTCTGACCTCCTTGAGTTGATCATTGCTGCCCCATGATGCTGAACGTTTGTGTGAGCTTCTTTTCTTTTCTAAATATTCTTCAGCCCAGGCACTTTCTGTCTGCAGCAAGAAGATTACAGGATTAATTTTAAAAAAAGATAATTCCTACTTTCTGGCAGACTAATTTGAGACAAATTAAAAGAAAGAAGAGTGATAAGATTTACTAGATTCAGAACTGCAAGTGAAAAGCTGTCACTGACTAGAAGCCTGTCTGACAAGTAGAGTATAAAAAAGTAGAGAGAAACTACGTAATTTAAAAAAATAAACCAACCAAACAAAAGCAATACCACAAAGAAAACAACTTTCAGACCTACTCCAATATAGGAATGTGCTGGTTTCCCTTCTACATTCTTGAGCATAAAGCAGTATTAACAGCCAGTTGTACCACAAGCTGCTGTAGAACTCTGAAGAACTACTACAGTGCTGCATTTGGGGAAGATGATATATTTTATTTCCTACACAGATGCTGACCTCGTTATTTCTGATATGTTAGCAAGGGTAGCTTGGTGTAAACGTTGTGAAAGTCTGCACCAGTACAGATTCAAAATCACGTCCTTTCTCAGAAAACTAAGAAAAAGGATGTCAAGGCATATAAACATCACCATAGCTATTACAAAGTAAGGAATTAATTTTTTAATGCCTTAAAGGGCTTCAGATTTGTAGTTGTCTCAGGCTAAGCCGAAAGCAACACAGATAATTCACAGAATCATTTTATTATAGAATGATTGAGGTTGGAAGGACATTAAAGATCATCTAGTTCCATCCCACCCTGCCACGGTCAGGGACACCTTCTGCTAGATTAGGTTAACCAAAGCCTCATCCAAGCTAGTTTCACTAAACCAACAGAGGCACTAATATTTAATAAAGAAACATACTGCAGTGAAAAAGTTAAGAGAAATTCAAAGTATCATTAAGAGAAACAGTATTTTTAAGGTAACAAAATGCACAGGCAAGTCAGTGATAATACTGCATGCTTTATGGACAGTTTGTATTCCCACCTAATCATGTCCAGAATGGCCTTCAAAAGCAGTGAACTGTAAAGGCTCTAAGAAAAAGGATAGCAACATCTATCAGGAATCTCTGTGCAACCACAAGAAATACACATAGTGAAGCAGGAGGATGGATTTCTGGAAGCAACTTGCACACTGAAATAGACAGCAAATTCCTTTAAATTCACTGTTGCCACAGTGCAGTTGTTAGCATACAGCAGTGATCTAGCTAACCCATCCTTAGGAGTCATCGATATCTTACTTTCCTATACAGACAAGAACTCCGATTGCCTCAAAGCCTTCACATCTACAGTGTGCAACTGTCGTTCTTACATTTGAGATTAACAGCTTGCAAGCCACAAACTGACCTTATTTACCCCATATGTACTCAAAAACTCAGAAAGCCTTTGATGATGTGGTATTAATCCCCATTTTGCAAGGAAAATGGAGGTGTAACTGTTCCAACATACATGCTGCAACTCCCATTGGCTTCAGTTACAGATGTACATTTCATATAAATGAAACCTCCACTACCAATAGTTTTTTCATCTTCATCATTCCAAATCAAAACATAAGCAGGACAAATCTGTAAAACAAAGTTTATAGGGTTGCTCTGAAATTCCTATTTCATAGCAAAATTAGAATCCATTAGAATATGGTTTTCCAGAAAAGCACTCCCTTATCTCCATCATAAAATAGAAAGATTGATAACCCCCATCCCCAAGTACCAATTTTTGTCTAGTTGATTCTCAAATGTCAGTCTGGAGTCTCATCCTATCCTCTAGCTCCTGGAAGAGTAAATTTCGGCCACTAATTCTAACTTCTCAACTCAGCACAACCATAGCACTTGTCTACAGGAATCTCATTAACATTCTAAGCTGCCTTTGCATTTAATTTACATTCAAGATTTTGACCTTAGATTCAAGACCTATTTCATAAATTAGTACCTGATTCATTTTAAAGGTTTAAAGGCTGTTTTGATAATCATCCTCAAAACAAATAGTTAGAAATCTTTTTAGAACAAGAGTAGGTATAATACATTAAATTATAGGAAGCCTTTACATCAAGGCAGACATCTAATACTATTTTAGCAAGTCTCTTCCTACTTATTCCCCATATTTTGTTTTTAATACTTATTTTCAAGAAACACAGACCAAATAACCAATAGACAAAGAGGGATTTCTATTTCTCTAGGTTCTTAAAGTACTACTATTTGTTTATTAGTTGTTAATTCACAACATCCTTCTGCCTGTTCTAGAATAACAAAGATGAATTATTTTAAGGCTGAATTTATCACAGATAGAACACTTGAGAAAAAAAGTCTTAGAGGCAAAAACTTTGCAGTTGAAATGAATTATTCTTTAAGAATTAAAAAAACACAAAGCAATTGCCTCATTTTAACTTGTATTTTGCTAGAGCTGTATTTCAAATAACCACAGGCAAAGACAAACAGGTTTGAATCAAAGAGAGAAAGACACAAGGTTTCAAACAACCATTTTAGCAGCACTTAAAACAGTATCTGCATGTAAGAATTCTAGCCAAACCCTAGGATGCGTAATACCAACCTTATTCATCATCCAGTAAACGTTATGCATGTACATAACTCAGCCTGGTTTTACAGACAGATTTCATCAAAATAATCAGTTGAAGCAGGAGTCTGATACATAGTCTTTGCATGACCTGGGATCTCTTATACAGGTCTCAGCTATGACCTATAGGCATCTCTATAAAGGCCTGCAACTTTAAGTGTGTCACTAATTGCTGTCTCTGCCCAGTCTGCTTCCTGAATAACTCTACTCCCTATGCCATAAATCCACAGGATCAAGATATTCTGCTTTACTCATCTTGAAAATCTTTTATATCTTAATAATTACAATTCCTGTTCCCTAAATTTTTGAAATCTGAATGCATCTATTTCACATCAGATTTTATAAAATCTGAAATTACACACTGGAGCCAGAATATCTTGCAAGTGAAACTTCATCCAAACACCACATCTGCAGAAATGCTGAAAAATACAAATGGAGAGCCTATACTATCATGGAAAACTATTGTATTTAAACTTGTCCCTAGCTCAAATGGTTGCTCTCAAACACACAAGACATACTAAAAGCAACAATGTCTCATCAGTGTCATATCAACACAAGCTTTGGATGTACAGATGTACGTCTGCATCCCAAAGTTTTCTACTGGTTTGATAAATTTTAAATTGCAAACAGATCATTCTGTTTCTCTCAGCAGTATACTAACATCAGTCACCATAAGATACACTCGTTCTGCAGAAATATCCAATGCCCTTTACAGTCTTCCCATTAATCTTTGCAAACAGTATGTTTCCCCTTATACATGAAAGCCCCACTACCAAAGCAGCTAGATGTGTCAGAACTGGAAGAAAAAGGCAAAAGAAAAATGCATGCCAAAAAGGATGATCTCTAACCTAGCTGGAAAATACACAGATTATAAAAGCCTAATCATAACTCATATTAAATTGAAATTAATCTGTCAGATCAGCTGAAAATAGAAAATACTTTGGCAGTAGTATGGAAATATAATTTGGAATAAGTACTATATCCTAATAAATCAAATATGAAAATACATAGCTAAGGCACCCACAGTGGTTTCGTTCTGCCCTTTACTGATGCCTTTTAATAGCTAAGCATGAACAGTAACTCCTCGTATATCATACACCTTCATTCATCCTTCTCTTATTACTATGATTTGTTTACCTTTTTCACCCTATCTTCTAAACACTCTTCAGACTCATTTTCCTGCATAGAAAACTTGTTCCTCAGCTCTCCTTTCCTCAACAGTTTCTATATCTACCTTACCCACACAGGCATATTCCCTCAACACCTTTTCTACTGATCTGCTTTTTGAATTGTGGTCCTTTCTGCAAATTGTTGTAGATCTTAAGGTGGCCATACAGTAACAATCAACACTGCAGTCATCTTCTGATCAACATCCTATACATTTGAGTAGACAGTACACTGAAACACAGCTGGCCACATTTTCATTACTGTTGCCAAACCTAACCCAGGTTCAAACTCAAGTCTGTCCCACATGCTCATCCAATTGCATTTTGCCTATGCTCTTTGGAATTGGTGGAGACCTGGTGTTGAAACCATGCTCTAGGAATACGGGTTTAAAATCCAACATGTTCGGCTCTTTCACTCTACAAGTTAGCAAAACTCACTGACAGACTACATCTGCAGAAGGAGAAATTAAACACTGGGATATTTTATGGAAAAATCCATGTTGAATCACTTCCATATACAGTAGAATACCATTTAACAACAGCATCCCTTAAGGGGAATAATGAAACAACTGTCCCAGTAAGCGTGTAACTCCTGTAACGCCAGCTGCATTCTACTGTTTGTTGGTTCTGTTGTTACAGATGGCACAAGACTGAACCATTAAAAGCTTGTGAAATTTTGCCAAGTTGAAGTTTATTGGCAAATCATGTACTTTTTTAACACTTTCCAGAGGAGCTAAATTTGAACATTATTCACAGTTCAATGAGGCACCTCTTCAATGTATGTAATTCTATACTGGGTGCATAGATCCCAGGTGAACAGTAAAGGCTGTTTACAGAGGATGAACAGCCTATCATAGGAAAGGCTACAATAACTTCTACACAGGCACTACAGAAGCTTTTTTATTCAGTTTTAACACAGACACACATATAAGGATTCACTAAGTTCTCCTGTATAAATTTAAACTCAATAGTACTTAAGACCAGTGCAATCTAGCGTACTGCACACTGGAAGAACAATGAGAAAACAGATGTGCAATACACTACTATTTTTCTGAGGCAGGAATAAAGTGGAACTCTTAACAGACACTACAGTTCATGGCCTCTTCTTAGAGTAGAATGCAAATAATTCACATACATAATAACAAAAGTAGGATTCCTGCAATTTGAAAGTGAATAGGAACTGGCAAGCAAGAAAGCAAAAGTGAATGTTTTCAAGGGAAAAGTTTCTTACATGTAAGCACTGTCTTCACATTTAAATACTCTGAAGACAAAAATCTGTCCTACCTGTGTGGCTTTGTCTCTCATACATGGAGCGACTTGTCCATGATTATCACGAGGCCACTGTCCAGCAAGGTATGGAGCAGCAAGCGTATCCAATGAGGAAGTCCGGCGAATAATACTGGAAGGGCTTGATGAAGGTGGCCTTGATTTGTCAGCTAGAATAAGAACACTTGATTAGAAAGACAGATAGCTTAATTATTTTAATTGCTTGCAGAAATCATATCAAATCGGAACTAACAGGTTATTAACTATACAAGGTACTTTTAATATAGGAATTAAGTTTTCCAGTCTCTATTCTGTTTCAATAAGCAATGAAATATGTTTTTATGGTTTCACCTAGAATAATTCAAGGGACACTATAAACTGACATGTTTTATTCACCACCCAGTATATAATATGATAGATTCATAAACAGTTATGTCTAACCCTTAGGATCTGGGAGTCAACTTCAGTAAGATAATGATTTACATTTTACAGGATAATCAAGACATTGCCTCCCTTTACATGCTACTTGGTAACTATATTCATATTTACCTGACACCACACCTTCTGTAACACTTCATTTTTAGTGTTTACATTGATATCACTTTTCAGAACAGTTTAGATACTAACAGGAACCCTAACTGAAAAAGATTAAATATAACAAGCACAGGAAGTAACATGAGATGAAAGAATATGCTTAAAAACAAAAATCTGCACCTATCCCATCTGTCAATGATACTACAAAGTGGCAGTAAAAGACTACGATGCAAGTTAATAAGTGTAATCACTATGAAGAAAGTTTCCTCAAAACAACAACTGAGGTTTGCTAAATTAAAGAGAACAACAGGCAGGAAAGACCCAGGGTTTAGATATACAGATATGCTCACACATTATTTCTTACTAGCTATTTTAGATGTGAAATGCAAATCCAGATATCACAATGATCCAAGCTCACTATCAATTCAGCTACTCCCCACAGAATTATACCTGAAAGAATCATGTATTAATCTTACCTATAACGAATACAAAGGCCTAAAACAAATGGCTAGAACACAGCAAACAAGATACAGAGATCAGATGGAAGCTTTAAAAGGGCACTGGAAAAACTCAGTCATATGTCCTTCCTGACTGTGCTTCAGGATGAATCCTATACTAAAAGTATAAGTAACATAACAATTTGTATTCTACATAAACTTATTTATAGGCAAAAGAAGTTGTGCCTGATTAGTGTCTGACTCTTAGTCCAAAAATAGAAACACTACCATCAGAAGTACAGAATTCAATTTCTAAGCCCTTTCCATCTCCTAAAGATACATAAATACTAATAAAACCTGTCAGGTATAGATTTCAGTGGTGTAGACAACACCTTAGTCTCATAGAACAACAGTCTTTCCAATGTAAGTCTAGTGACATTCTATACTAAATACCCGCATGCACATCTTGCATTAGAAGTGTATACATTAATAGTGTGGAAAACATTTCAATTCAGCTATAAAGAAATAATTATTAGCACTATAATCAACCACATTCACATAAAGCAATCCAAAAACCTCATCTCACTTATTATTTCTACTAGTACCAACTATGGTAAAATGTTACTACAGAGCTCACAGCAGATCTGCTCTCAGGAAGAAGCAGCAAAGTTAAATTTTGGAGTTACCATGCACTTAAGACCCCTGCATCAAAGAAATTCTCTGGCTACTACCACCACTATACAGCACACTAAAAGGTCTGTTTGTACCAGAAGATTTCAAAACAATTTCTTTTGTCTGTACCATGGGAGAATGTGGCATGCAAGGTGTCGTTCCTTAAAAAGTACACTTGCTGCCAAAGTTATATCAAATATGTTATTTGTCTCAGAAATAGCTATCATACTCTCCCTATTTATTTTTCTTCTGAATTATTCTTCTTCCTCTTCAAAAAGCTTCTCTCTTTTTACCACGGGGAAACAGAAAGAACGTGGAAAAAAAATTAAAAATCAGGAAGTGTATTGTAGTCTTCTGCAAAACCACTACAGCAGACAGCTTCAAAACTGAAGCAGCAGAAACTGTTACCCTTTCCCCTCCCCCACAAAACAACGTGGAAAGAATATTTTCCTGGGCAAACAGAGAATGAGAACTGAAGAGCCCGTTTACTGTTTAAGTTCAGGGTAAGCTGCTCATTTCAAGGCACAAAGCCTATAAATACTCTCTTTTCCTCTGATTTAAAAATTCCTTCAAGGAATTCCATTTTCAGATTACTTCTATTTAGATGTTTGGATACGTTTTACTTTTCTACCTTCACAACATGTCTTAGTGCAAATTGCTGAAGTCTACTACACAATTCTTGCTGTTTCAAAACATTCCAATGGGAGCATATACAATGTTTTCATTGCACTTTCCTCTACAATACTTGAAGCAAGTGTTCAGCTGCTATTTTTCCTTGATGTGACCTACATAACAAGAGATCTGCCTCCACAGAGATAACAGTTACAACAGCTGTGGCTGATGAAAAACAATGGAGCTATTTCATCAAATAGACCCTTCTTAAATATTAGATCTGTTTTAACTGGCCTGATTATCTCTTTAAACCAATATTTGTGATAAATATCAACCATCCTATCCATCAGCCACTACTCTAAATCTGTTTAGAAACAAAGTCTTTCTGCAATCTAGCTACAAACAAAGCAAAATAACAGAATGAAACACAAACAGAACATACACAATAGAAATCAACAAAGTCCATAACGTGAAAAAAAAAAAACAAGCAAGTTACCATGTCTTCACAAGCCATTGCAGTACAACTGACCAACTGAAGCTGCTACAGGTAAACTGGTATCACACACACCTATTGCAGTTGTGAAATCATCCACCTCCAAAGGCAATTTAAGCTAAGGCAGTCTAAAAATGTGATGGAAGAGCAGAGTTGAACAATAAATGCCTACCAATAACTGACTGAAATATAGGAAAGAGAGCACTTATTTGTGGGGGTCTTAACATAGAAGTCCTACAACTGAAAAAGGAAGTTATAGTGTGAGAACACATACATTTGAATAGGATACCTAACTGGAGAAAATTGCTATATATAAAAGAAAGGAAGGAAGGAAAAATTAAAAAAAAGAGAAGGTCTTACACATAAGAAGGTCCTAAGAGACAAAACACTCTGAAAATTCGTATTTCAATTTTCCAGGAAAAGTTCTGAAGTGTTGTTAGAACTGTAAAATAAAGATTACTGTTTAAGTGTAACTTAAAAGATCTATTTTACAGTCCTGTTGATATCCTTCTACGTATTTGAAATTCAAGTCTTAAGAAAGGAAAACAAAAAGTCCGTAGAAGCATCTTCTAACAGACACCATAAGAAAACAAAACAAAAGTAGCAAGCAGCAGAAAAAGCCACTGGAAAAGCATAGGACATCATTAACCTCTCAACATTCCCTGACAAGAGTTCAACTGAAGCTTTTTACACAGGTAGGATATTCAAAAAAGTGAAAAAGAGTGAGACCTAACTAGCTTTTCTGGCATCTAGACATACAGCTGACCTTTGTGTTCTGGTTTCAACAGCCTTCTCCTCAGAAAGGACATTCATGGGATCTCTTCCATGCATAGCTGGCTTTCCCCAAAAACTCATACAAACACAACTGATCTCAGAGACTTCACCTACTTTTTATATTTCGTTGCAAGTATTCAACAGGCTCAGACAGCATTGAGAACAGACACACAGCACAACTGCATATATTCCCTCTGGAAGACAATCTTGGCTATTATCGGCACATAAATGTAAAAGAACTACTCTCACTCTTGCTTCTAGTAGTTCAAAATGAACCCTTGGTAGAAGAACAACTGAATGAATGTTTTTTTACAAAACCAAACCTCAGAAAGACCAAAATGTTCAAGTTACTTAATTCTAATGAATGAAAACATTTTTAATCAAAATTAACTCCCCTGAAGCGTTGGCCACAAAAAAACTCAAGTATGATGTTGCAAAAATGAATTCACTTTCTTTCACCTACCATTTCTTAAACAGCTTAGGTAAGCAAAGCAGACATGAATTGGTACCCAAAGCCTTCTATACTCTTATCCTACAGTAATATCACTTATAACTATTGTAATTGATGTCAACAGGTCTGCAGCTATTATTGTGTCACTCAACAAATTCTTAGAACAAATGAATTTCACAGTGAAATTTAAGAGTGTCATGGAGTTCCATTCCTTCTCCCTACAGAGGGGCTCACATCTGAATACTTTAAGACTTTCCAATATACTTTTACAACAATTTTCATAATTTCCTTTCACAGATGTAGGCTTTATTATTACTCTTCCATATAGTATTCTAAACATTAAAGGCCAATGTAGTTTCAGATAAAACTAACTGATTTTTCTCCCTGATTTTCAGAGTGAGTTTAAATGTCCAATACAGTGAACTGGAATAGATCAGAAGTTCAGCATCCAGTAGAGACATCTCTCACAACCTCTAGACACCTGAAAGGGTCAGTACACAACTGCTATGGCTCTCGTCTTGACCACTGTGTTCACACACCTTGGTGCATAATAACATTTTTAGAGTTAAACTCTTCTGGGAAGTTGTGTTTTGTGTAAGAACACAAATAACAAGATCACATTGTTTATTTACTCAGTAGATAAACCAAGAATAAAATATTAAAGGTAGAGCATACACATTTCTCTATCATTCCACAGCAGTCTACTGTTCAAAAAGAACTTCCTCTAACAGGGGTGGTTTGCAGGCAGGTAGAGACGCATATGTGAAAACTGAACCAAAACTGGAGATTGCAGGGCAGACCTTGCAGCATAGAAATAAGGCCACGCCACTGATGAGAAGGACAGAACACATTAGCATGCAAATGAAAGATGAAGTCTGTGGAATATGTGCTCGAGATTGCAGGAGGGAAAGTAAAAGATGAAAACTGGGTAGTAGGAAGATCTAGGCCCTTGGTCATATTTAGGAGGGAAATAGCAAGAAAAGCACAGAAATTCAGAAACTGTACTATGGAATATTTAGTTTATAATTATCCCGTCATCATCAGAAAATTCAGTTAAGTATTTCCAACATTTAGCTGCAATTCAGTTCAGAAAACAAGAAAAAAATGACAACAGAAAAATCACACTTGAAAAGATGCACCACAAAAACAAAACAAAACAAAAAAAAAAAAAAACAAACACAAAAACCCAAAACACATAACCCCCCCAAAACCCAAACAAACAAACAAGCAAGCTATTAAATCACATTCATAAATTCACAAGTTGGGGTTCTTAAGTATTAAGCATGTTAATGAAAACTATGTTCAAAACTATTCAACTGCTTCCCAGAAATCTGAAAAACATGAAGTTGAGTCTAAAGCATACAACTATCTAAAACAATTATCAAAGAAGCTATCATTTGTCTAACCTCAAGGTTCATTTTAATCTAAAAAAAATACACAAGGCTGCAGCTGTAGAAACGAACAAAAGCCATCATTAACCGAAAACAAGAAACAGGAAAACCCAAGTTATTCCGCAGTAACTTTTGAATGATACCCTGAAGTGGCCTACATGGCTTCACAACTGTAGACTCATTAGCAAAAAGAAAGTATCACTTACATGTTCTCAGCTACCACTAAGTTCTCATCTAGATGAAGAAAAAGTTGAAGCTAATTCAGTCTCTATCAAGAACTGGACTACACAATACAAATGTTAAGCAGTATTAAACAGGTTTAATTTGCATTTTGGACCAATACAAGTACTGTTCAGAAATATAAACACATGAAAGCAATTAAATGGATATTACCCTTCTGTTCTCACACATCTTGTAAAAAGCTAGTGGAGTTATCTTAACACAGTAGAGTGACCAAATTACTTGTTTCTTTCTATATGCTAATTGTTAGATCCAGTAGAGAAGCTAGCATGGTTTCAACAGGCTTCTACACAATGATCTGAAGATGGTGCAATTTTTCCACCCTAAGTGGTCTGACACATGCCTTTACAAACAGCTTTTGAAGCTGGATCTCAAGGCTAGCCATCCTGTTCCTTATTCTCTAGGCCAGGAGACTGCATCTTGGGCAAGAGTTTCCATAAAGTTCACAGGAAGAAAATAGGATTTTTGTGATGTGTATAAAGTCTTTCAGATTACAGATAAACAAGAATCTCAAATGAAAAATACACACATTTCTCATTCCAGAGCCTCAGAATATAAAAGGCCCACATTACTCTTATCTGGAAAGCAGAAAAATCTAATTCAGAACATAAATGCCTTTATGGCACTGCTCTCTTACACTGCAGACAAGCAGGCATATGGTAATCTTGAAAGGGTATGTCTGATTTAAGAAAAAAAAAAAAAAAAAGGAAACATTAAGTCACACAGACATTAACTTAAGTACTGTACCAATTGGTTATGACTGTCTAATTTGGCAGCATCATTTCTCAAGAGCCAGGATAGAAAAAAGGAAAAAACACGACACTGTAGTCTGGTTATAATAATTGCTTCAGAAAGGGGGAGCAACATGAGAAGTAGAAGTGTTAAAGGAATTACGTTGGTCCTCGATTTTTGCATATACACTTCTGCATATTAGTCAACTTTATCGTTTAAATTACCACATGGAATTTAATGAAAAAAAAAGAGTAGCTGTAAGCTTTGGTTACCTCAACAGTCACAGATTTTTCCCGATTTCAGAACATTAACAAAAAGCCTCACTCACACATTTTTGGGTAAACATTTATCTCAAGAAATAAAAGGACTTACACATGTAAGCCTCTATTATCCTCAACCAGATGCCACATATTGCTTACATTTCAGCATTCCCAGTATGTTTTAATTATTCAAAAACAGTAAAAAGCACTTCGCTACAAAATGTATGCCATTCCCACACTATTTTTTATCTTCACTGTAGCACAAGCTTGTCATCACTCTCAAGTTCACACATCCTTCTGCAGGGTTCATGTTGAAAGTAAGTACTAAGAGAGCTACTGAACACTTCTTTCCTACGTTTAGTGCAACGCCTGCAGTGCTAGCTAGTTTTCTATTCACAAGCTCGTGGACACCGTTTGGATCAGAAACACATACCATCTGGCACGAGATGCACAGAAGGCTTCCCAACAGCCCCCAAACACCAAATTCGCCTTAAGCGTGTACTGAAGTATCTTAAGTGCGTATCCTACACCACCGACTCTCATCTGGAAACCTTTGGCAGTATTTACAGAAATGCTACGGGAGCGGCTACAAATCCCCTCACGGCGTGCTCGGCTTTCTCCGTCCCTCTTCTAACTGCCAGGAAGCAACAGAGCAGCAACAAAAGCGACAAGCCCTTCTCCCCCACACACGCTCCACAAGTGCCGCCGCCGGCCAGAGGACGATCAGCACGGGCACAAGCCTGGGCACAGCCCCTGCTCCTACCTCTGCCCCGCCGGCAGCACGGCGCGCTCGGAGGCACACCACCGGGCGGCGGGCACCGCCGCGCCCAGCCCAGCGCGCCCAGCCCAGCCCTCCCACCCCGCAAAACGCCGGCCGAAACTCGGCCACGCCGAGGAGCGCCGCCCGGGAAGAGCCTTTTACCGCTGGGCCCCGCCGGCGACCGCGGTCCCGCGTGTCGTGTCCCCGCTCTCCCCCCACGCCCCCTCGCCATTCCCCTCAGGTAACGGCCGCGCGCGCGCGCACCCACCCCCCCCCCCCCCCCCAGGCCCCTCCGCGACCGGCGGGCGGCAGGTGCGCGGCACGGGCGGGCTGGCGCGAGCGCTCACCTTTGCAGCCGGGGGAGCCGGGGCTCTTCCTCTCCGGGGAGCTCCGGCCTTGCTCCGGCGAGTGCCGCCGGTGCCGGAGCCTGCCCGTCGCTGTAGCGCTGCCCTCCGGCAGCGGAGGCACCGGAGAAGAGCAAGGTGAGGGCCCGCAACCCGGCAGCGGCGGGGGAGGAGGCGGCGGTAGGTGGTGGGGCCGCGGGGGGCTCCCCCGCGCCCCGCCGGCACGCGTGGGGCTGCCCCGCGAGGAGGCAGCGGCCGCCGAGGCGGCGGCGCCGCTTCCCCCTCCCCCCGGCGTCTGCGTGGCCATGGCGGGGCCGCCGCGCCCGCCGTTGCCGCTGCCGGTGGGCGCCGCGCGCGTGGGGCTGATGCTGCGCGAGGCGGGCGCCGCGCGTGTGAGACCCCCGCCCGGGGCACTCGCGCCGCCGCCGCTCCTCGTGGGGCTGCCATGTTGCTGCTGCTGCTGCTGCTGCTGCTTGAGCTGGAAGGGCACCGTGGCCCGCATGGGCTGGAGGCGGCTGCTGGCTCCCGCTCCGCCGCCCGCCGCCGCCGCGCCTCCTCCCCCCAGGGAGGTGGCCGGGGTCGGGGAGCCGTTGCGCCTCACGCGCGGGTGGGACATTGTCCGCTGGAAGCCGGGGCTCGCAAAGGAACCGTCGGCGAGCAAGGGCAGGCGGGCGGTGAGAGGCGCGGGCAGGTCTGCGCGGGGGCCCAACGCCTCAGGCGCCCGCAGCCCCGTCCCCTCGTCGCCGCCGCCGCCGTCCCCAGCCCGGGGCGCCCCGCGCTGCCGCCGCCGCAGCCTCCGTGCGCCTCATCAACAATAGTGCCCCGGCCGCCCGCCCCGCCCCCCGCGCCCTCCCATTGGGCGCGCCGCCGCTCGCCTCGCGCAGCTACGGCGCGCCCATTGGCTGCGGAGCTCGCTCCTGAGTGGCCGAGCCTGCGCGGGGAGGGGAGGGGTCAGCGCTTAAAGCGACAGGCGGCCGGCCGGCGGGGCCGCGCGCTGCCCGCGGCACGTGCCCGTGGGGCTGAGCCGCAGCCGGGCGGCAGCTCCAGCCCCGGGACACCCCGGCCCAGGGAAGGGGCGGGAAGTTAGAGGCAGGGCTGCTCTGTTGCTGTTAGCTCCAGAGGCGCCCTGCGAGGGGACCAGGGCTCTGCAGCGGTTGGTCCAGTTGCTTTGCCGCCAGCTCAGCGTTACCGATGGGGACACCAGATACGTGGGTAACATCCAGGCAGGCTTGACCTCCTTTTCCCTTAAGTGCTGTGTTTACTCTTCTCCATTAGATCAGTTGCATCTTCAGTACAGTCCTTCAAAAATACTCGTTAACTGTCGGCATCCTCTTAACCTGATTTATACATTAGAGAAGAGGATACATGCATGAAATAGGCCTCGGTTCACGTGGTGGGATTCTTTAGATGCAAGGCAAACACACATTAGCACCTTCAAAACGTGAAGGAATCAATAAATCTTCTCTGTCTTTATTGCAAATGGCTGTTCTAGGCTAACAGAATTTATCCAAATTCTTTTCAATATTGGCTCTGCGAGTTGCATGTTGCAATTGAATACCATTGCTATGATACAAATGGTGCGACAACAAATTACATACCGTTCTCTCTCTGCTTTGGCTTGGCTGTGCTTGGGTTTGGTTTTTCCTCTCCTCCTTTCTCCGTCGCTGTGTCTGATTGAAGTCTACTTCACTCAAAAAGCCCCAACTTCCCCTTTGAAGATCTTCATCCTTGTGCCTGACAAGTTTAACAAACCTGAAAAGCAAGACTATGTGCACAGGCCCTTCTTAAGGATGCCTGGACACTGCTCTACCTAAAGCCTCGAAGGTTAAAGCTCTTGTCAGAGGCAGGAGCTTTTTATGAGGAATCAGACTGGCAAAGGAGAACAGAATGGATGCATTCCTGGTGATGAGGTTGTTACGAAGTTAGCTCTTGCATCCTGAATTAATTAAATTTCTTTTGAAGGACACTATGCTTGCTCACAGGTGCTGTGCATACTGGTAGTATGGCCTGCAGGATAGCAGGGTGGTTCAAACAAAACTGTAAGAGGCTGTGCCCTGTCTTCAGGATTATCTTGGGCTGCTCCTGAAAGTGGCTGTGTCAAGGGAAGGCACCAGAAGCCTGGCAGATCACCATCAGTCCTGTTGTGTTTCCTCCTTAAAATGTGCAATTTACTTAAGTCACCTTATAAATTACACACATAGGACCACTTCCCAGTTCTTTTCTTGTAGCCATCACAAGCACTGCTGGTACAATGTGACAAAGCATCAAAATCCCAGGTAACCCACTTAATTAGTGAAATATCTGGGAGACAGCGCTCTCCTCACAAGGAATGGCTGAGAGGCAGAGCAGGGCACGGGCTGTGCACTGCCTGCATTGGAGGTGAAGGGATCTCCTAATTCCCTTGGTGGCTCCATGTATATACTGAAAAAGAGTACCTGAGCTTCACGCTGCTCCATAGGTAAAATGCCCAAGAGGTAGAAAACCAGCACCCCAGCATGTCTGGAGAAATAAACAGAACCTATCTGGTGCTTTGTTGGCAGCCAGGACAGCGCACAAAGCAAGTTAACCTATGCAGCATTTATTTCACCTTTTTGCTGCAATTTTCAGTCAAGAGCAGAAGATGCAATCCTCTTTGCAGTTCTTTCTGCTGTGACAGCACCCACTGCCAGTGCCAGTACAGTTGCTCAGCAGGCTTTCATCCCTTGGACAGTTTATCCTCCACAGAAATACTGGGGTTGTTTGAAAGCAGTGTGCCATAGAGATATTTTTAAGGCATCAAATGTTCTGAACACATTCTAATTCCTGTTACTGTTTTGAAGAGGCCAAAAATGAAAGATATTGATTCATATTTATTTGCATGATGCATGTTACGGGCCAAGTCACGACTCTGAATGCAGAAGATATCTGTGACAGTTATAGTACTTCCCACATTATTGTCACACTGCAAAAATGGCACCGCTCCACACAGTTGTTACGAGAATATAAAGGAAAGCATTTATGTATACTGCTCATCAGCAGTTGTACTGCTTTACATGCATTAGATGTGAAAATTCAACATGAAAGTCATGTACCCAGACCTAATCAAACACCATGTACTTCATACATTAATTTGTTTAAACTGTAACAAATGCGTTACAACAGGATCTTACTCCTACATCTTATGGAACTAAAGCAGGATTACGAATTACTTGTGAATCATTTTGAAACTTTTTTTTAGTTACACAAAAAAAAAAAAAAAAACCAAAACAAAACCCCAGCCCAGAATAACTTGGATCCAGATCCCCCCAGACTGTCCTTGTAATTCACACCTCCCAAGCTCTGGATTTTGTTTCAGCTGTCACACTCCTTACTGCCTTTAGACTTTGCCAAACGCTGCCCAGGCCAACTTTGAACAACACATTTCATGCAGTTTGACGTGAAACCTTTAGGCTGGGATTTCTCTACATCCACAGAGACCTTACTCTGGCTGTAAGACTTAACGTACTAGTGCCAATAGGGACCCAAAAAATAGGCATGAAACTCACTGTCATCACAGAGGCTGTGAACCTTCTACCAGTGTCACTTGAACCAGCCTCTTAGTGACTCCAAACTCACTGGAGTCACACGTGATCCCACATACACAGGATCACAGGATCCATCTCTGTATCTTCAGCTACTCTCTACTTGGTATTTTAATGAACCCGTTGGCCCACATGAGCTGAGCAGATACTGGTATGTGCCACCCGGGAGGTGATGAGCGCTCCCCCTGACTTGGGGGGCCCTCAGCACCTGACCAGAGGCCTGCTGAAATGCCCTGCTTTGTAGTCATTGTTGGGAGATTAAGTGTAGGTATTGCAGACATCCCCTTGCATGCAAGGTGCTGGTTCTTTCTTAAAATACGGTGTGTAGTAAAAGCTGCAGGTACAAACAAATCAATCCAAACATTGGAAGCATATCAAGAGTGCCCTCAAAGGCAGACTGATAAAACACACAGAGCTGCATGAACAAATCCGCAACCTGCTGAAAACAGGAATGTAAACAAGTCAGGGAAGTGGTCAAAATAGTAACCTGGAATGAAAAGCAGAGAAACAAGGGTCAATGAGGTTTAACTAAGGTCACAGGCCCAAATCCCACTGTATGGCTATCAAAACAACTAATACTTAGGGAGTTTTGTTGTACTAAGGACTGAAAGTTTATGAGTAGAACCACTCACTGCTCACAGTAGTATATATGAAAAATGTACTGATAAAAATAATAGTAATAATAGCAGTAATAGCAAACCTTATGGAAAATGACTGTGCCCCAAGTAGCTTCGAATATGTTCTTGTCTTATTCCAAAATTAAAATAATGCATAATAATACACGTAAAGGAGCAATCTACTGCCTGAAATTCTTAGCTACAGTTGTTGCCAGCAATATTGAAGGTTGAAAGACTAAAGATTCTGGGAGTCTAATCTAAACATTAGATTATGTCCCAGGATATTTCACTGCATTTGTCATCTCTCCACTGCAGAGTGAGTTTGTTTCACTTGTTTATATGGGTGTTCAACATCAACAGGAGTAAAAGGCATTTTTAAAAAATAGGACAAATATAATAGAAGTTGCTTCACACGAAACCTGTAAGATCACAGTTAATATTCCAGAATATCTGGGGGGATTTGAGGAGGCAAACAGATTGAGATAAGGTATTAAGATTAAAACAATAAAAAACAACAGATGGGACCTTGGACAGAAATCAAACCACATGTGATAAGCAAAAGACAACTTAAAGCAAAATGTGCTCCTGCCACATTTTATGAAGTACAATCTTTAAGAAAAGTTGTCATATAAATAAAATCATGAGGCTTCAGTGCCTCACTGGAATTAAGATAACACATTTTTGACAAACAAACCCTGTTCCTCAATGCAGCACTTAACTGCAGGCTCGAGAGATGTTTCCACTGCACGTTCAAGGCTCACATAATTACTTGGGAGAAGTACACAGTTAATTTCTTTAGAAGCCAGTGCTATGTTCACCTACATGCAACATGTTTTTCCATGCATACAGATCAGTTTTCTGAGCACATGTTAAATGACAGCAGCGATGCTAAGCAATAACCTCAGTGGGAGTGTCCAGCTGCTGAAGGAGGGGGGCAACCAGAGTCACGCTTGGCTCACCAACAGCAGCTCTCGCCCCCTGAGAGTGACCGCAACTGTTCTTGTGTTCTGCTGAGGGAAGAGAATGAGCAGCAGAAAAGGCATGTTGTCCACCACATTTCTCAAGCTTTGGTTTCAGTAACACTGAGAGAAGTGGCCTACTTCATTTAAACAAGACACAGTTTAATCTCCCCCAGGTATCCTGCAATAAAGATGCTGAATGATAATTTGCACATAATGCCTCCCCTGCAACAATAAAACTTTCCTTCCTTTTAGGAAGTAATTTTTCTTTAAAAGTATTCTTTCAAAAACAGTATTTTTAGCACATATTTACTAAGCTTGCAAATTTAATAGAGGTTTGTCTGTATTTGTGTTGCATGTAGAGATGTAACGTGTTTCTGTATTTCTAGTCTCAGGGCAAAAGAGTATGTACAAACTATAGAAGGAAACATCTTGATTTCTAAATATTAAACACTGATCACTCCTACAAGCCACCGGCAGTTTCTGTATTGTAACTATAATGGAACTATATACTGTAAAATATTTATTTCAATTGTTGACATTATCAAGTAATTTGATAAATGAAAATATTTCAATAATGTAGATTTTATGGCCGTATTGTAGGATGATAAACATTCTGTATATGTGATCAACAGGCATATAACTATAGACAC